CGGTCACGGTTGACGCCGTGACCTTTTTGCTGGGCTACAAAAAATACAAAGGTTTTTATGAGTATCAGGATCTAGTAGGACTACGATCCGAAGTTCTTGACTGGAAACGTTACTACAGGTCAGCAAGTCTGGAACCGCTCGAAAGACATTAGAGAGTTTCGAAAGAGAGCAGAGACTTTCAAAACAAGGAGCAAAAGGATCGAAAGGAACGAGATAATTCCAGAAAGAGACTCGAGAAATTGAAAACAAGGAGCAAATCGCTCGAAGGGAACTAAAGAATTTCAGAAGAAGGAGCAAACCGCTCGAAAGAGATAGACAGTTTCGAAAGTGACTAGGGGAATTGAAAACAAGGAGCAGCAAACCGTAAACCTCTCGAAACTGAACTAGAGAATTTCAGAAGAAGGAGCAAACCGCTCGAAAGAGACTAGAGAATTTCGAAGACTGGAGATTTTGAGAACAAGGAGCAAACCACTCGAGAGGAACGAGAGAATTTCAGAAGACGGAGCAACCCGCTCGAAAGAGACTAGAGAGTTTGAAAACCAGGAGCAAACCGCTCGAAAGGAATCATCAAAGGCTCGTAGGTTTGGGATGGAACATTTAGGCTCCGAGCAAAACGTGTTCCAGTTGAATGGTTTTGACAAGCTCCTTGTAGACGCAGCATTTCGAGGCCCAGGGTCTGAGGAGGCTTTGGGATCTTGAGGTTGACCCTCCGTTGGCGAAATAGGATCTGCATGGTGAGCGCCTAAAGGCGACGACAGCTGAAATCCGTGAACACGACTCGGACCTGCAACAACTCAACACACGGGTCCTCACATTGCTTGAAGCTCGTAGGAACATGCGCGGTGTTCGAAGCGGGGCGCAGTTAGGGTTTACAGGCTGTGGCACTTGCGCACCAAGCCTGTATGAACGCGAAACACCCAAATCCTTCATGCCCTACCTTTCCAATTCTGATGAAGACTACATCACAAAATAGAAAATGTGGGGGGGGGAACTGTCGTGCTTGTGCTTTGGCTCTTGGGAATCAGGGATCTCCGCTGCAGGATGGCTAAACCTTACAGGCCTGCGTTCCGCAAACTTCCTGGGGCTCCCTGCTGTTCCCTTCATCGCCAAACCCTAGGGCTCCATCTACATCTTCTCAAATTCGACAAGCAACCTGTATCACAAAGCCAGTATGATCCTGGAGGACTAAAGTGGCTCCTAATGTACGTGATAGTGAACGTGCTTAGCTTCATTGTTGCAAGAATATGGATCGAAGTCAACGACACTGAGGAACCTACTATGCTTCCGTGTTAAAGGCCAGCTCTATACTACCAGGGGTCAGGGTTGGAAGCTCCAAGGCATCGTGTCAGAAACCCTAAACCCTAAAACGAAACCCACAACACCCTGAACCCTAAAACCTAGCCAGGAGGCTCCTGAACTTGGAAAGGTGTAAACCCGGAACCCAAACCGAAGGAGCTTGAAGCCCTAAACGCTTTCGCAGAGAGGGGTCCTTGAGGCGTTTTACAAAAGCATTGAAAGTATTCTATTTCCTTTATACCATCTTGCGGTGTTGTTGTAGCGTAATGGTACATTTCATATAGTACAAGCATACTCAGCAAGCTCATGCGCCTGGTCCACGACTGTCCCGCAAGTCAGAACTGCGACCTCCGCAGGTCCGAAGGAGGCAGGTTAGGTGCTTTGGGCTTCTAAGGCCTGGACGTCGGGGTGTTGGGCTGAGGTTTCTAGGGAAAGCGTTTGGTGGAGAGCGCATTGAGTTGAAAGTTTCTGCGCTACCCTAAACCCTAAACCCTAAACCCTAAACCCTATTGTCACAGCATGAAGATTGTAGTTTGGCCCATAGGTAGTGAGGGCCGGAGACTGAGGCTTTTGGGGTTCAGGGTGCTTTCGGGGGTTTAGGGCCTGGAAAGGGGGGCTCTCATGAATCCCTGGGGTTTGGAGGCCTTAGCTTCTGGGCGGGGGCTGGTCCGAAACCTTAGTCCCACCCGAACTGTTGGGAGGCATCGAGAAAGAGGGGGAAAAAAGCTCAAAAGTAACTGAAGCTGCCCTTGCCCGAAACTTTACATACATATCTAACGCAAAATCCCTGAACAAACCACGGGCCAGTCGACAACCCAAGGAGTGTAGGCTTTGGCACGAGAAGAGTTCGGCCTCGTCACTGTCCAGCGACACCTCAAAGGATGCTTGGGCCGAGTCTGGGACGCTGAGAGTTTGCTTCGGCTTGGATTGGGTTTCCAACCGCGAGACCAAGGTAAAGGGGATGCTGGAGTTTCTCTTTGAGGTAATTAGGCTTTCAGTTTTCGGTTTAAGGTTTTTAATTTAGGGTTAGGTAGCCCCTTTGTGCTTTAGGGGGCATTCCGGCAAGAGGAGGCCGGCTCATCGGTCTTCCCGCGCTCGGCATGAGGACTGCTTCTCTGAATCGTCTCAGCGAGGGTGCAAATCACGGCTCGCTGTTGCAGGAAAGCTGATTCAGGCAATATCGGAACCTGGATGTATATTTTTTTATATACACATGTATAGTGTGTATATAATATATATATATATATAGAGAGAGAGAGAGCCATAATATATATATATATATATACATACATACATACATACATACATACATACATACATGCATGCATACATACATACATACATGCAGCTGTATATATGTCTACATTCGTATTTATCACTTGCTCTCAGAACCACATCGGTGAATCACCGCATGACCCTTCTCGCCCTGCGAGGGCCCGGCCCCTTTCCTGACAACGATGTCCCCCTTCAGGGAGCCGCTGTTAAAAACCACCTGCGGCGTTGGCGATCGCTGCCTAAAGTTTCAATAGCCCTATGTGAAAGCTTCAGACACCAAAGAGCTGGGTAGTAAAGCTGTAAGAGCCACGCCTGCCATCGCGGCAGTTTGACCTCAGGATCAGCTCTGATCTCCTACAGGTTTTTGGCTCAACACTTCACCCTGAACCTCGGCACTTGGTCCTAAGTCCTTGCTTGCTAAGCCCTAAGCACTCGTTCTCAAACTGAGGATCTGGCCTTTTCCAAGTAAAGAGGTCCGCCTACGGCCGTCGCGTCGACGGTGACCCATCCACGCGGCTGCCAGCGAGATCACTTTGCTTTTCAAGCCTATTCCCCCCCCGATGCTTCAAGTCGAAGAGAAGGTTTCATGCGCAAGAAGAGCAGACTAGACTGCTACTTTCTGCCCTTAGTACTATCGCACGATAACCTGGCGAAGTTATCCAGAAAGCACAGTTTTGTTGACTTTGGGTTCTGTTGGGGACACGCAGCATGTGCCAATTTCGAAGGAGTTGAACTTGCGACGGCATAACTCGAGGTTTGGATTTGGGATGTCAGCCGAGGTCCAGACATTTGAGGCCCGCGAGGACAACAAATATCGGTTGCACACACAGCTCCGGAGCTGGCAGGGTGTATGTGGAGAGACGACAAGTTCGGAAAGTCCACTGCACCATGTTCTCCAGCTCTACGGCTTAAGGTTGACAGGGTTGGAGACCGGCACGAGGCGATGTAGTCTCTGCAGACTCTGAGCCAAATCGCGTGAACCTGCCGGACTTCGTCTTCGGAAGCGCATGACTCGGAGGACGAAGGTGATGCATTCCCGTTTGTCTGCGTCTGGTGCTGAGGACGGCGGCATGTGCTTTTACGGGTGAGGGTCCTGGAATAGGAGTAGCTGGAATCCGAAACCCCATGCTCTGCCTTCCGAGACCCAGGAACTCTATTCAAGTGGGTCACAGACTGTGCGTATTGGTATTCCCATATTGACCAACCTGAGAAAGCCTCAATCACTAATACGAGTAGGAACATGATCCCTCTGAGTGTTGGAGTTTTCCAGTGGTAGCACCTCATATGAGAGAGTGGAGTTTCGCTTGAACAGGGCGAAGCAAAGCGATGATTGCAAGGTTCCAAAGCGGCGACCGCAAAAATCCCAGCAACTGGCAGTTTCTAGAAGCGTGGAAACGATCTTAAGTTTTATTTGACGGACAATTGCGGACACTCAGCGGGTGTTGTGGCGAGCACGTTCGGACCGTGCTTTTGACTCCGAAAAACGGGCGTTGCCTTTTGGAACAGGGATTTGGGGCATATTTTACTACAAGTAGGGTGAGAATTCCAAAGGAGCACTATGATTGATGATGCAGGCTTCTATATTATATATGTTGAACCCCAAACGAGAACGCTCCGCTGTGCATTCGGGAAATTCGGGAAAGTGCTGATAATCAGTCGCAGTAGTTGTGTCACATGCACCCCCAAAGTCTTGAAATTTCGAGTAGCCCTACATCCTGAAGTTCTTAAAGACTACAGTCTTGAGTAAGAGAAACCGCGCCTGCACGGGCATGCGCTGCAATCCCGATGCAGGGCCTGAAACGAAGACCTGGAAGGAAAAAGCAAGCTTCATGAAAGATCACGTGCTTCCAGGTAGGTTGCACATATATGACAGAGCTAAAACCCAAGAAGAGATGTCCAGGGTTTCGAACTTGGAGCTGCGAGTTCGGAGTTCCGGTTCTCTCTTCAGGGATCGTCACAGAAAAGTTGCCAAGGGCTCGAATTCGTCTGCATGCTCCGCCGCAGGCTCTCGAAGTTCAAATCTGACTTTCAACAGCTGCGTAGACGTCTGGGGTCACCAAGACAATGTGCGGACATGCCGCGATGCAGAGGCACGAGTGCAGAGCACCAACCGCACTCGAGGACTTGGGCCACGGTCTGCTTACCTTCAACTCTAAACCCTAAACCTGAAACCCTAATCCGGAAGCCCTGAAACTTACAGGCCGTAAACGTTCTGTCCGTTCCCAGGCTGTCAGAAAAGTGCTCCTCAGGGTTCCTGATTAATTTCATGCTATAATAGACTATGCTGTATATGCTACAGCATACTATACTCGACTATCTTACGCTAGACTGTAGTGCCACGTCGTCTCTGCTCTCTGAATACTCGAGGACCCGCAACAAGCCAAACTAAAGGGGACTCAAACAATCTGAATCGGAATTTGGGGTGCTATCTATGATAGGAGTTTGGGGTACATTCCTTATCATTGTACAATAATGATGCCTACAATAGAGGTTTGAGGTACATGAACCAAATGCACTATACTGATATCTATGCCAGTAGCAGGAGTTTGCGGTATATTCCTTATTATACTGTTATACTTTTGTATGGATGTCGGATGTGCTCAGGTTCAAAGCTTCGGTAGCCAAGCGCCATGGCCTCAAGAGGTCCAGCCTGCAAGACCTCAGAGGTCTGAAGAGTGTCCTATCATGCTTTTACGAGTTAGTATTTGTATTCTACAAATTTGTTGTTTTGTTGTTTAGTTGTGTGTGCTGCGAGTATGTACATGTTTACGAGCACTACCTCCGATGATGATCCTATGTGTCTGTGCAGAAGATTTGGGATTTTGGATGATTCTCGCACCGTCTTCAGACTCAGGCTTTGGTGGGTTTCGGAGGTAAAGGTTTGAGTGCCATGGTTTCAAACTTGGGTTTTTGAGATTCGCTCTTACAGGGTCTTTTTTTCTGCTGGACTGCGAAGTCTGCTTGCCGTCTGCATCCTGCAACCTCAATGGCTCGCCCAGTATGTCCTTCGCTTCCTACAGCTCGAAGATCCAAATAAGCACACGCTGTCTTGAGGGGCTCCGACCCGATGTTAGGATCCCAATCATCATAATCTGTCATAAACCGCCCTAAACCATCATAATGTGTCATAAATCGTATTACGAAACAAAAAGATCATCAGAATCTGAACCCTAAACCCAAAAACCTATATCAAACCAAAGAAACAGAAGCTCTTAAAAACGAAGGGTCTTTCCACCCCCCCCCCCCTCCCTGCAGGTTTTGGATTCATCCTGCACTGCGCCCAAGCCTTGGGGGTTTCCGGGCTGTCTGCTCCGCCTTTTGGGGCCAGAGCCCGGAATCCCCAAACCTTAAAAGTGGCTTAGGGTTCCGAGGTTTTGGGGCTTGAAGTTTTTAGAGTTTTGGGGAGACAGGACGTATCAAGAGCTGGAGACTCAGAGCTCCGTGCGCCAAAGTTTACACCAGAATTTAGGGTTTAGGGTTTAGGGTTTAGGGGCCTCACCTCCCGACTTCACAACCTGGTAACCCTAGAGGCCGAAGCTCATGAATCGTAACCTCCACCCTTATGCCAAGAATTTCAGCCTCTGCTTCCGACTGAGGTCCGGGCATACTGGCCAAAGGGTACCTTACAAGCAGAGAGGCGCAGGAGCGGATGAGCACTTCTAGAACTCTCGGGGCCGAGGCTTCAAACGCAGACAGGGTTTAGGGTTTAGGGTTTAGGGTTTAGGGTTTAGGGATTTTCCGGCGCTCTCGTCTCTTGGGGCTCCCGCCCTAGTGATCTCCTCTGAGGTGAGGAGGAACTGCTCTCGGATGATCACTTCACCCCTGTTCGGACAGCAGTTCCTGTAAGCGTTTTGGGCTTTGGGGTTTAGGGGCGGTTCAGGTGCTTAGGAACTTGGGCTGCAGGGGTTTGGGGATGTAGGGTTCAGGGTTCAGGGGTTCAGGGGTTTCGGGATTTAGGGCATAAGGGGTTGAGGGATTTAGAGGGGGAGGTGTCGAGGGTTGAGGGCTTGGTCTTTTGCTTCTTACACTTCTTCGAGTTTCGGTGTTGAGGCCACTACGGATATCGAGGAGCTATAAAACCTGCTTGCTCCAGGGTCTTATTCGCGCATAGGCTGGGTCGTGGTAGCTCAAGGAAGGGCTTTGAGTGGTCTGGCAACCTTTCCTATGAATTCGTTCACGATGCTGAGCCCGTATTTCAACAGTGCACAGCCACAGAGCTCCAAACACACAAAGATCGTCTTAGGAAACCTTTGCTACGATGCCACAAGTGGCATGCAGGTTAAAGCTCGAGATTTCAGACTCAGGGTTTCAAGTGTCTCAGGGCTCGAAGGGTTTCCAAATTTGGCCTTGGGAGGTTTTATCGGTGCACAGAGCCAGCGCATGCAGAGGTTGGAATTCGGGCACCTGTGCCTGTGCCTGAGGAACTCCAGACTTTTGGCTGACAAGGCCCAGAACTAAAAGGGCCAACGACCATCTCAAGCTCAAACGCTGTTGTCACCCTAGACATTCAGCCCATAAGCGCCAAGTTTTGATATCTGGAACCAAGCTCCTTCACGTAGGCCAAGAGACCCAAAAGTCCGGAGTCAACCCCGGGCCGAATACAGGGGCCCAAATTAGAATGGGGTTTAGGGGGGTGGTTTAGGGTTTAGGGTTTAGGGTTTAGGGTTTAGGGTTTAGGGGGGTGTAGTTTGCTATGACTGTTTCAGGGATCATAGGGATGCTCTCATTGGAAATTCTGATCACCAAATTACCACAGAAGATCACAGCCACAAGCTCTCGAAGCTGAAAGCCAGAACCCGTCAATACAAGATACCCAGACCTCCTAAGACAAAGCCTTAACATTTGTTGAATCGGGTTTTGGTGTCCATTTTAGCGTTTCTTGTTAACGAGCCCGGAGGAATAGTATTGGTAGCTATTCAGGCACCTTTCGTAAACCCTATAAGCCCTGAACCCTAAGCTTTCAACTCTCCCACCCTAGACATTATAAACCCTGAGTCTTAAACTCCTGAACCCCCAATCGCCCTAATCCGACACATTTCTGAAACTTTAGACCCTAAACACCTCCTGGGCTGTCCTCCACCAGGTGCCACGCTGCGGTTTGGGGACAATTTCGGTTCGGCCCATCTCAGGGATAAACCTTCCAAAACGGAGATCGTAACGGGCTTCATGAAGCTTTCACAGGCCTTAGCGAAGCAGTAGAGGGATCTATAAACAGCAGAGCTTTGCTTTCGGCTCCTATGAAGAATGCATAGGGTGTTGCATAAAAATCATGCTGGCATCCATGGGATCTATGCACATGTACATGTACACGCATATGGG